ACAGAGAGTGAAAGAAAAAGACTGGTACAATGTGAGAATTCATTCTTTTCTTCATTGAACTACAGAGTGGTAGAGGAATCTCTGTGAGAAAAGAAGAGTGGCTTTTAAATAATTTAATGAGTGTTATAGACCGTTGGGACCTTGGCAGTAATAACACATTGATTCAGTTGTATGAAAGTTGTAAAATAAATGAGTAAATATAGACAAGATAAGTCACTTCTTAAAAAACTTTTGATGGTTCTTAAAAGAGAAAGTCTAATCTCTCAGGATTTTGGATGGGATTGATGGAATTCTGTATAACCTGCTTCTCAATGAAGAAATATTTAGGGAGAATTAATAATAGAAAAAAATTTACTTAGCTGCAAATACAGCAATTTATGGAACACATTTTCCTGACAGCTGCGACTAAAATCCACTTCTCAGTTCCTATGTAAGTAATCTGCGTTACACGTTCTCCCAAGCAAAATAGAAAAGCCTCCAATCGCCATCATCATGACCTACCTGTAGAAGGCAACAGGAGCTACGGCTGTCAAAGTAGGAAAAAAAATCTGTCCCTGATAAACTGTTGGAATTATTTACTTAAACGATAAAAAGAAGCAGCCTTATCCTCATATGTTTTTTGCAAGCCCTATGTGATATGCTAGCTCTGAGGATGCCTTTCAAGCCTAGGTCTGACAGTCAGGTATACCTCTAATCTGTGGGACACGAGAAGATGCTTGGTTTTGTCAAGGCCAGTCACACACTTGGATGCCTTAGGAACTCCATGAATGAACCACGTTTAGTTCTTAGGGACTTCCAGGACTGAGCTGTAGCTGAACAGATGTTAAAAGGTTATATATTTTAATTTTATACCTACAGATGCACATCACCTTCAGTTTTACTGCTGTTGTCACGCTGCTAATCATATACAGGAATACCAGCATGTTCTGAGGTTAACCCACACATTATATCCCAGCATATTTAGTCAATAAAGCACAGATGTAGGAGTTGGCATTTGAGTTCTGTTTTGTTGATTATTTTTATACCTTAATCTATTTTGCAAAATGGGAATATGAAATCTAATTAGTCTTAACAGTATTCTTCACTTTGCAATTACAATTATAGTCTATCAGCTATCATGAATGAAGAGAACACATTACTTTGGAGAAAGACGATCATTGCAACTCTGATCAGTGTTCTAAGACCTACCTGCACTTCTGAAGGTATCTCCTGAGTACTCAAAGACAGTAACTCGCTTCCCATTCCAGAATACGACAGCATCCTAAACCAATTTAAAAAAAAGCAAGCAAATATATACATTCAGTTTCTTTTGGAATCATACAGGAATTCATGAAATAACACAGCAAGACCTTCCACACAGCAGCCACCATTCACTAGTTCCACAGTATATTGAGTTGGAAGGCTTTTGGTAACCCCAAAGTTCTCTGGTCAGCACCCAGAGAATTACAGAGTCACTGTGCTCTCTGAAAATCAGCTCCACCACAGCATCACTGCTACCACCATAGCAATACATCCATTACACAATAAACTGAATATCAAAGAAGAGTAATAATAAAGATTTAGGAAGTTTGGTCTCCATACACATAACTAGACAAGCAAATAAATGAAAAAAAATTAACCTTAGTAACGAAGACTCCATTAACCTTCATATCAGTACGAAGAGTGTGTGTGGTTCCTGTGCTGAAGGTGGTCACATTAAACAGGTTGGGAGACACCTGTACAATGGCCACTTGCTGATGAAAATGGGACAACATGGCCTGCTCACTGAGGATCACCACAGAGCTGATGATGTTCGCTGCCAGCAGGTTTTTTCGGGAGCCCCACTGCAGAGAATGCGAAGAGGGGGAAAAAGGTAAAAAAAAGGCACAACACAATTTAATCTAAGAACCTGAACAGTCAGAGCAATGTCTCAAGACAGATGACAAACAGTAGGGTAGAATAAACATCTTATACATATACAAAGTCCTACTGTCTAAATACATCTATAGTGGATGACTAAGAATTATTACAGATAAGAACTACTATGCTTTTTACCCTTAGACTAAGGGAGTCTGAATAGAGGAGTTGGTTTTTAAATTAAACCCACTTTTCTTTCCTATGATATTATTGCACCACCTTACCTTTACTACTGTATGAGAACATCACATATCTAAAGGGCTTAATAATGCTGCAATCTGTAAAAGCAAGTTGCAGGCATAGTTTCTTTTTGATTACCATATTCTTTTCAGCAGTTTTGACAGCCCTTTCAGTCAACGTAGTTCAAATTCCCTAGCATAGAGTGCTAAATCGCATGCATAAATAAAGGGGTTCAAAAGCACACTCCTGCCCTTCTCCTGGAAGGACCTCCAGGTTCCAGCTAACTCTTTTTCAATGAGTTCTGTGAAGGTTATCTTTCCCTCTTTTTAGGATTGTAGAACAGCACCTACACAGAACAATTCTAAAACTGAAAAAAAACCTTACAAAATTCAATGAGAAAAAGATAAGATCCATTTCCAAGATGGTTTGCAAAGATGTAAGTTTTAACATGCAGCTTATGAATTCTATTATTAAAGGGAAAGTAATGCTCCCATTTGCATTCTTTCTTTGTACATTCACAGATACACAAGCATACGTGACATTGTTCATGTTTATTCCTACCAAAGGATGATTTTTTCCAGAAAGCATTGTGGCAACAAGCTGACTACATGCGAGCCCTTCACAAGCACCATGCTAGCCAGAAGCGACACAAACTCCACTCTGGAAGCTGTAACTATGAGTGGGGGTGCAGGGGTGCTACTCCTGTGCTACTCCACACCATGGATAATGCTCCTCAATAAGCACAGTCCATAGGTCACCACACAGCTTCAGACAGGCCAGGCCAGGGAACAGGCAGAGAGGTTTGCGGTTGGTTTTTTTGTGTTGTTTTTTGTTTTGGTTGGGTTTTTCTTTAACCTACCAGAGACCATTCATACAGACATACTCTTATGGGCTAGATAAATTATAAAGTTTCTTAGAGCTGCAGAAAATCCCTTCAGAGCCCAAGAACTTCTCTGTCTTTGCACAACTGATAAGCTCTATAAACTCTAGGAATACGCCAAGCCTCTAAGGTTTCTGCTTTCCTCAAAGTTATCTGAAGTTTCATATTAATTTCCTGCCATACTGATATTTATGTGGCTATACTTCTCAAACAGCAGTGATTTGAATAGTTGTGTTAAGAAATAATTTCATTTTATCCAAGAGCATGACCTAAGAAAAAAAGGTATTTCGCATGGTTTGTTTGGGGGTTTCTTTTTAATGGCACTTAATTACAAGTAACTAGATACTATGCTGCTCAACAGATGAGCTAGAGTGCATTTCCAAACAAGCTTTTTTGAAGCCACCATAACAGGTTGAAAAAAGATGTTAGCAACGAGTCAAATGAAATTATTGCTGCCCTTTGACCTCACCATGGTATATGGCTTTCTACCCCAAGTTTTTCATGGCAATATAGGAAAAAGCTTTTATAGAAATTACCAAAAGATTCCGTATGTAGCAATTTTTAAAATCTTTTACTAAATATTTTTTGGAGTGCAGGGACTACAATAAAAAATAAAGAGAGTTTCCATAATTAAAGACAGCTTTATAACAAGGGATAAAAGTATGGTGATTGTTGACAATTGTTTGGCAACACCTTTGTTTATGCTAACAAACATTGGGAACAAGGTGCTATTTCTGGGCAGCGCTCCATATCCTGTTATCTGGAAAACGCTTGAATGGTCAAACTGACATAAACACCGATATCTCTTCCCTTCCCTCAACTTATTAGCAGATGTATGATATACTAATGGCACACACTGTTTCCTATATCCTGGATCTTTTGTTACTGAAGCATCTTAACAAAAGATGTGGGTTCTCGACTTTAGGTTTATTTAGGTTTTCATTTTGTAAGCAGGACTCTAATACAGACCCCTTGCTACATGTCAACCCAGAGCACACATCAGTCTTTTAAATACTTTCCATTCTTATGTAAAAAAATAATGAAAGAAAACATAAAATTACTTTCTCTTGAAAGGAATCAGATATATTTGTTTGATATTTATTCCTTCCAAAAAATAATGGCTATTGTTCTCAAATATTAAGCACAGCAACAGAATAATAAGAGAAATTGTAAAAAACCTGGATAAAAATAATAATAGGGTATAACAACAAACAAAACAAAAAAAAGTGCTGGAAAACCTAAATGTGCTTTGCCTTTTAGCAGAATGGTGGTGGTCAAAGCAGCTGTTTCTTAATCTAAAACTTTTATAATTTAAATTTACATCTGCAATGCTCAACATTTCTCTTTTGCATATATCAAAATGCTAATAAGTATAGGATGACTGTATTTAAGCATACTGTGACAAATGAAAATATTTCAAATAAAAAAATGCTGCACCCTGACACTCAACAGGCAGTGGGTTAAAAAACTAAATCTTATAATGCCATTTATTGTCATAACCTTCAGCATTAAAAACATTGTCAATAGTAGTAGAAATGTTTTAAAGCATTGGTTTTGTAAACCTGTAAGAGAAAATTTATCATCCACATCTAGTCTGACACTGTTGCAAATAAAATTATCTAGCAAACAAGAAACATTTTTCTGACAAAAAAGCAGCTGAAAACATAACTGTGTGTAAAAAATATAGCACTCCCTTCTAGATGGCACATCACCAAAGAATATTTGGTTGCAAATACTTCTTTTTGGTTTTGCAACTATCAGTAAGAAAAAACTTTAAGAAAGTGACTACAAAGACGAAAATTATCTACAAACAAAATCATACATATAGTCACATTTTCTTGCTTGCTATTTTAATAAATTTATGTAAATTTTACATTTCTGACAACCTATCTGTTGCAGAAAATAACTTCAGGGTGCAGAATCCAAAGAGTTTGTCAGTGAGACACATACTGGAGAGGTGTTCGGATTTCAGGAGGCCATAACTGCTAAGTCTCCCAGACAGAGATGTATTTGCATTTCAGCATTACCTTGCTGAGCATTTCAACCCTGCCTCTAACAGAAGAGCTACAAACAGATAATATTTCCATCTATTTCGGTTTTAAAAATTACTTGATCCTGACCGTTTTTCCTCCTTCTTCTGAAAAAGGACCAGCCTCTAGTGGTGCCCACAGCTGTATGACAGTGATCATATTTATCTGTTTCACAAAGATGATCTATTTATCTGATGTTTGTGAAGTCCTAATAACATGCAGATTTGTTCCTGTCTTACCTTTATCTGAGTGACATTTCCTTCAAGTTCTGTAGGTGCCTGGAGCTTCCACTTCTCCTTGCCCTCCAAAGCCCACATGCTCTGATCGGATCCCACTGCTTTTCTCCACATCGCTATTCTCCCTTTGTTAGTTCCAGCTGCTAAGAGACCTGCCATTCACAAACATTTTAGGCATTTCATACCTTAAACTTCAGAAAAACAAAGCCACATTATACAAAATAGCAGGCAGCCTAGCTCAGGTTTGAAGGTACTGAGAAACCTTCTAGCAGCATTAATTCATCTGCCTTCCTGCCAACCAGCATCCTAGTCCTGAACTGGAGAAACTTTCTGGAGAAACAATGGGAGAAGTTTCACATGGCAAGGCCCATTTTCTAAGCTACCAGATGAAGTTGTCTTTTAAATGTAGCAGATAATGATTTTATTTTAACCATTTATTATTGAATAGCTGGTTTTCTAGTCACTATGGGCAAGTCACCATTGAACACCATTCTAGCAGACACCAGCTATGCCTCCACTGGCAAACAAGGTGATGCACAGGAGAGCTCTATAGAAAAGATCGGTTTTAAGGACCTCAGGGGTCAGTACTGGGAGCGGTACAATTAAACATCTTTGTCAGTGACATGGACAGTGGGATTGAGTGCACCCTCATCCAGTTTGCTGACAACACCAAGCTACGTGGTGTGGTAGACATGCTGGAAGGAAGGGATGCCATCCAGAGGAACCTTGACAGGCTTAAGAGGTGGGCCTATGTGAACTGCATGAAGTTCAACAAGGCCAAATTCAAGGTCCTGCAATCCCAAGCACAAACACAGGCTGGGCTAAGAATGAATTGAGAACAGCCCTGAGGAGAAAGACTTGGGAGTGCTGGTTCATGAGAAGCTCAACGTGAGCCAGTGATGTGTGCTTGGAGCCCAGAAGGTCAACCGTATCCTGGGCTGAATCCAAAGCAGTGTGGCCAGCAGGTCAAGGGAGATGATTCTGCCCCTCTATCCTGCTTTCGTGAGACCCCACTTGGAATACGGCATCCATTTCCGGAGTCCCCAGCAAAAGAAGGACATGAATGTGTTAGAGCACATCCAGAGGAGGGCCACAAAGATGATCAGTGGGCTGGAGCACCTCTCCTACAAAGACAGGCTGAGAGAGTTGGGGTTGTTCAGCCTGGAGAAGGCTCTGGGGAGACATTATAGTACCTAAAGGGGGCCTACAGGAAAGCTGGGGATGGACTTTTTAGAAGGGCATGTAGTGTTAAGACAAGGGCTAGTGGCTTTAAACTAGAAGGGGGCAGATTTAGATTAGACATTAGAAAGAAATTCTTCACTATGAGGGTGGTGAGGCACTGGCACAGGTTGCCCAGAGAAGCTGTGGATGCCTCCTCCCTGGCAGTGCTCAAGGCCAGGGTGGATGGGACTCTGAGCAGCCTGGGCTGGTGGGAGGTGTCCCTGCCCATGGCAGGGGGTTGGAATTAGATGAGCTTTAAGGTCCCTTCCATGGAATGATCTCATTGTGCTTTCAAAAGCACACTCCTGATCTGAACTAAAATGCTTCTACATCACATGCTGTCACTGAAACCCTCAGTAACAAGACAAACATACTGAAATGACTACAAGGCGCTGAAGGCTGAGGTTCGACAAGATTTAGGATTCAGAGATCACAGCTGCCATGTTATTTCTCACCTTTAGTACTGCAGTAAGAAACACAGTTAATACATTCTCCTCCTTCAAAGCCAAATTGCACATCTGGGGAGAGCACATAGTTCTCGTTTCGGTCCAAATCCCAGAACCTACAGTACACAAAACAAGAGTGTTAACAATGCTTTTCCTTCCAGGTGTCTTGCTAAACACAGTCAATAAGATGCTGTAACGTGGCATTAATTTGCTATTTCCATAATGCCCAGATAATTCATTTTTTAAAATTAAATTGCCAGCAGCTGCCTCTGGAATGTGAATTTCTTAATCTCCTTCCTGTTCCTTTGACTTTTTTATCTGCAGCGTGTTTTCTTATATTCTCCTACGAAGGAAGGAGTTGGAAGCAAACCCAGCATTAAGAAAAAGAGGAAATAAGTGAGCTGCAATTTTCCTCCTCCTTACTTATACTTCCTTCTCTATTTTAAGAATATTCCTTGGTTAACCAGTAGTCCTTTGGATTCCAGATTTATTTTCTAGAACTAAATATTGTCATCAAACATACTCCTTCTTGATAGTTGGTCTTTACCACATTCTCACAAAATTACCATATTATTTTGCCTGATAGTAGCAGACAGAGGCTCAAGAAGGTCAACTACTGATGTTAATTCAACATCTTCACCCCAAAAAAAAAGTTAGAGGAAATGGGTAGAGCAAGGCATAGTAAAGACAGAAAAAAATAAAAGTAATAATTTTTTTTACTTTTTTTTTTAAAAAAAAGATGTAAAAAGACTGAAGCTACAGAACATGGTAGCACAGCAGTGTGGCAAAGTAATATACTTAGTTTAAAGAATTAGAGATAGAAGTAACCAAAATACTTGCCTTATATTCCAGGAACAACAAAACATCCTGAAAAGCAAGCACTTCTTTCCCTGTTGCTGATGCTATGACTATCTTAAGAATCAGACAATAACAATGGAAAGAACAAGCTTTCCTTTTCGTGCAAAAAACCCAAATGGATATATTTTCAGAAGAAATCAATAATAACACTCAAGAAAGGAACAGATTTGGGTAGTACTGCCTGACAAAATAAAACAACTAGTTTTTCTCCTCAAGGAAACAGGTTTTTCATTTCATCTCTCTATATATTTTGAGAAACAAAATTAGAAAATATTGGGAGCTTCTTCATCATTGGTAAAAAAAACCAAACCAAACCAAAACAGTTCAGTAAAATATTCAGTGCATTACAAGACCATAAACCTTTTAGCTGGAATTTCTCATGGGCAGCCACAACAGCTTTTAATCAGGATTCTTACCTGATTACCGTCTCACCTAGTGCTGTAACAACAAGGCTATGGTCTATTAAAATGATGTCTGCAGAATGACTTATCTTCCCACTCAACTTCACCTGTTAACCATAAATAAATAAATTAATTTACAGTAGGTAGGAGGTACACACTGCAAGACAATAAGCAACTGAATTGCCTAGTTTGGCTAAAAAGTTAAAATACAAGAATAACTAGATTTGTCAATTCAGATAGACCAATAGTTTCTCTCAGGCCGTTATCAACACGAAATGCATTTAACATATGATGTATAAATTTAATAAAAGAAACCTTGGACTGGGTTAAGTAAGTAGGTAAGGAACAGGTTTTTTTCTCTTATACTAGATCTTCTCTCAGAACTTTGTAAAGATTGCTTAAAAATGCAAAAAACCAAATCTTACTTCTAGTCAAAAATAAATAACGATTAATAAGAAGTGGACACTCCTATAATACACAAGTGCTCAGTCATTGTCTATCTTAGACAAAAAGAAAAAAAAAGTCTTAGGAAGGTGAAGGTTTGGGTTCACTCCTCCCAGACAGTGTTCTCCAACAGTACAGTATTTCATTTGAGCCAAGGTGATTATAAGTCCTGGATGAGGTCAGTTTGGTTCTTGTCCCTGTACAAAACTTTTCACAGAAGTTTGGGTCACTATTTGTGATTCTCTGACTTGTGTTAGTTTTTAAAAGCTTCCTAGCCTTTGCAGCTGTGAAAAAGATTTTCAGTATGTGAGAACTAAACCATCTTTCAAATTTGCAGACAAAGACAATATCACCAAGGGGAGGTTCTACTCCTACAAATCTGAAAGACAAGATAGCTTTGAGCGACTAATGATAATAAAACCAAGAACACAGATTATCAACTATTGATCCACAAGACATTTTAACAAATATTTGATTGTACTGAAATTTTCAATTCTTCTGTAATTCACTAAGACAAGGTAAATGAGTATAAAAGGATTAACATAGGGTCAAAATGAAAGAAACTAAGAAAAAACAGGAAGGCAAGGTGAACACCATCTTTCCAAGTTCAACAACACATCACTCTTTCACTTTTAAATGAGCATATTATAAGCTCATCAAGGAATTATCTGAGAAACATAAAGAGAGTTGATTCATTTGCAAGAAAAAGGTGATAAACAAAAAACTTTACCCTGTAGTCTGACTCTCACCTTCATGAGCTCTTCTGCCTCTCCCTCAAGAGTAACTGCATGCAATGACAACTGCAGGTTCTCTGTTATTACAACTAAAACATCTCTTTCCTCCAAGAAGAGAAGCTTTTGGACCAGACTGTCTGTAGACAATACATGACTTGTCTTTCCTTTCTCATTCACATAATGCACAGAACCTGTAGTACACATAAATAAGGTATCATTTTCAGTCAACAGTTCTTAACTATAAAAATCAAAGTTGCTGATTTCTACCTTAACAAAATATTCGTCAGGTATTAAAAAGGTAAAAATAACAGGTTGGATGGGGCTTTGAGCAGCCTGGTCTAGTGGGAGGTGTCCCTGTCTATGGCAGGGGGGTTGGAACTAGGTGAGCTTTAAGGTCTCTTCCAACCCAAACCATTCTGTGATTCTAAGACGTGAAGCATAGCAACTTGCAGGATACAGAGCCTGTCCCTAGATGGAGCTGTGTACCACCACAACAGTGGCTCCGAGAGGGAGGATGTAACAGGCACATCTCAAGGATTCTCTCCTTCCACGGTTAAGAAGTGCTCTGTACCCCTTTTTCATTTAAATAGTTCATACCTACTGAAGAGCCTTGTAACTCACAAATAAAATGTGATTTGTGAGTCACAGATTCACAGAATCACAAAAAGAAAGCACAGCCCACTGTTGTGCAAAACAAACCTATAGCTGGACCATGCCACTCTGGCAATCATACAGAAGCCATACTGGGGTAAATGATGAGTCTCATTCCTCATAATGTAAACACTGAATCAAACTGTAATTGAGCTGCAGAACTTGCATAACTTAAATGGTTTTTGGAGTAGTTAACACTTGAATCAGGAGGATTATATACTCAAATAGCCTACCAGAAACATACTCATTACAATACTTGTTACACAGGTTCTGGCTCCTGTTCAAAGAGTTAGCAGGTTAGAGAAAGAAGGCACCATGAAAACAACTGGGGTAGGAAAAAATGAGCTGGGAGAAAACTAGTACCTAGAACAATAGAAGAGTGAGGGAAAGACAAACAGCAGGGAAGAAATGATACTAGGAAGAAAACTAACAAAACAGATATTCAGACTTTTTTCATCCTTAGACTGAAGCCACATTTCAAAGAATGAGAGAAAAAGTAAATTAATAATTTATTCTAAAAGGTGCATTCCAGCAGAATTTGCCTATTTCTAGGGAAAAAACCACAACACATGCATCATTTTGAAGCTCTGCACAAAATGCTGACAACTTCTAATTTTATTTACACTTAGGTGTTCAAGATCACCTTCCTTACACTCACTTCTTCAGGAACCTGACAAATCCAACACCTGTGGTGTCCTCTGGGAGACAATTCACCCTGAGAATGCTACGATTTTAATTATTTTAGTCATTTCTTCTTACCAAACATTCTTCAACTCCTATGAATACTCTGTCTTGTTGGATATACGAATATGATGGATCTATGGATATACTCTAGATGTTGGATAGATGAAAACAGGACTATCATGCACTGAGCTATTTTGAAGCATTAAGGTGACAAATTTCAAGTAGACTGGTTTTGCTCTTACCATCTGTCAAAGTGATAAAGAAGGACGGCCTTTCCTGGAGTCCCATTTTCAGAGGTGTTCCTGTTCCAGCTTTTCTCCAGTTAAACATATCCAAGGCCTTCTCATCACCACCCACAGCTGCTTTTGCTAGCTGTACAAAGTCCCTGCAAACAGAGATACTTAATTTCTAGTTCCTTACATAACAGAGTACTTGCCATCTCAAAGAATGGATGAGTAGTTAATGAAGCATACTGAAAAGGGAATAAAGATATTTCATACACTGATTGGAATAAAGAGCAAACTCAGATAGATACAGTCAAATTTTAATACTAGTTTTCATTTGCATTGTTTCACCTTTTTTTCCATAAGCATTATTATTTTTACAGAGCTGGGAAACAGAAGTGGCTCTGACAAGAAAAATCCTTTTTTCCTTTTTTTTTTTTTTAACTACAGTCATTTCCTATTTCTTGCTTGTAGAGGAAAGAAATAATAATATGTAAGAACTGACTTTTAATTTAATTAATCTTGCCAATAATTTAATGGATAATTGTGTTTTCAGTGTGCTTTCTGCTTTTCACAATCAACAACATGGTTAATTAGAAGAACTAAAGGAAGAAGAGTCAACAGCAACAAGCAGAAAAATATGGACAAAAGGAAGATCTGTTGCTGCATACTGCACACAAAAAGCCAGCTACTAGAGTGGGAGAAGGACTTGGAAATAAAAGACATTTAGGAGAAGGACTTTTTTTCCTATATTTAAAAAAAAGGTTTGTCTGTGAGTAGGATTTGCTTTCCATGGAACAAAAGAAAGACCTGGTCTACTAGCAATCTTGATGGGGCACAATACTTACTCGTCAGGATGGGGTGGGCGAAAAACACAGTGAGACAGACATTTTCCATACTCTTGTTTCAGCAGCGCAGGACCCTGCACTCTGCCTCGCTGGTTCATTCTCCAGAGAACCAAAACACCGTGCTAGAAAAAGAAGACAGTTAATTCATTACACTTTGCACACAGATGAGAATCCAGACGCCAGCTACTCAGTGCATGTAAAAATAAACATTTTGACAAAGCAACACCTTTCCTTTAATTTAGTTTTTTCTTGCAAGCAGTCTGATTGCTGAAATAAAAGATATTGAAGTAAAGGAGAGTAAAGCATAAGATAAGCATCCCTGAGTAAATCCATATAACATTGATAAGGTCTTAAGGTCTTTAAAGTCCCTTCCAACTCTAAACATTCTATGATTACTAAATATTCACTAGCTAGATTCTCATTTCACTATATAAAAGGGGAACCAGCTCATCAAGAATAAGGACTGCCACATTTCAAGTATTTCCACAACATATTTTCCATACAGGAAGTTTTGACTCATTTTTAGAGTATTAATAAAAACAGAACATGGGAGATCAGCATGGTTTTTTTGTACTTAAGTGAGCATTGCTATGCACTCACTACAGATTAATATGTTGTAGTTGGAACCAGTTTCTTGACATCTGCGCTTTATTCCTGAGTCTGTCACAAAATATATAATTCAAATTGTCTATGCCTCAATTACCCCATCCATTAAAGAGCCTTACCCCATCCATTAAAGAGCCTGAAACCCTAATCTACTCAGAACATACTGAGATTAGATACACTTTTAGTTAAATCGATAAAACAGCAACGAGTACTCTACAAAAAGTTTAAAACATTGACATTTGGTTTTACCCCCCAGCAGTTTTAATTTGCACATAAAGTGGGATAATTTATCTCCCTTCTTACTATCCCTTCCAATCCAAGACTTGCACCACTGTGTTCCACACCAAACACCCATTCGACATTTCAATTCCTCACCATATCACCGGATACAAGGCAGGTACCATTCATACTCCAGTTTAGGACTGTAATTTTGGTGTTATGATTTGGTGGCACCGCATGGTGCTCCTTGTCCTGTTTGTTAAGTATCACAACTTCTCCCGTCTCCCAGCCTGCTGCAAGAATTGGTCTGGAAGGGTGCCAGGAGAGTGACGTGACCTGAAAGCTTCTCTCAAGATGTGCATCGGACACATGTTCTCCCTGCAAATAGGAATAAAGTGCAAGCTCAGTACAAGGGAAATGCAGCACAAGGATGCAGCTAAACCTTCAGATTTGCTTCCCAGTCAACAAGGTATTTTTCTGTGATAAAGGATTGGCATGAAATAGAGCTTCCTGCAAGAGAGGTTAAGTGGCTCCACAAAATCTCTTTGCAGCTCTTTCTCATGCGTAAAAACATACTAAAACATGCAGTACACTTGAAAATTGATAATGAAAGCATGGGAGTGTTAAGTGACCGCCTCACTCTGCTTTTCCAGGATATTCTTCTCATGTACATATCAGGAGCTCTCACTGAATATCAAGCTTTTACTCCTACATGAAGGAAAAGAAGGCTTTGAGCACATTTCAAGGTTAAAAAAAAACAACTTTGGAAAAAGAAATACCTCACTGAGGACACAGAATAATACTTAAACAGCTCTTAAAGGCAGACATTCCTTTTTGCATGGTTTGCAATAATATTTCAGACAAATAATTGAACCTGTTTTTCCATTTGTAAATTTGGATGACAGTTTTTCATAATATACCTCAAGAAGTATACTTTTTACAGGCTACTCATATTAACAGAATTAAATGTTTCCAGTATGCCTGCTGCTAGATAGCTTGTAGTACCATTTCCCTAAATAGCGCACTTTTTTTCCTGAAAATTATGCAAACTAAAGTCCTACGCAAGCCTCTTGTGTAAAGTTTAGAGTATGCAAAGGAAATATCTATCTACAGGCAGAAACCATACTAGGAAACAACCTACTCAAATGGAACAAGCTGAGTCTAGCAAATCAGTTCAGACTCAGGCTGAAGGAATTATTTTTTTTAATTTACATTTCTTAGTACATTTTGTTCACTCAGGGTTAAAAAAAAGCAGCAGCATGTGTCCATTTTATTCACAAGCCTGAAATTCTCATACCATGAGAAGCAAAAAACAAATTGGTAACCATCACAAACAAGACTGAAAGGCTGTAAAAATAAAATTTCAATGAAAAGATCAATTTAATTTATAAGGACCTTTTTATAAAATACATGTAATCAGTAGTGGATGAATCTGACATGTCCTAAATAGCATGAGACATAGATAGCAATTAAAGTTGAGAGAGAGATTTTCAGGGAGCATAAGTAAGGCTGCAAATACAGAGACGAAAAAGTGAAGTTTCAAACCAGCAAAATGGTATCAAGCCCAAAAGCAGAGCTGCTGATTTTTCACCTGTTCCAGGTAGATATCCACACAGCCCCCAGATGCTGTGCTGATGGAAGCAACTGCCAGGAGCGGATGGAGTGGGTGCCACGCTATGTGGGAAGGAGAAGCAACTGCATCAGGAGCTTCTGCTCGGTGATCCACATACACAGCCATAACAGCAGAAACTGTCACAGACTGCAAACCTGTACAAGGAAAACAAACATTTCTAACAGGTATGCTTAAGTATATTATATATATATATATACACACTTAATATATGCTATTTTCTATATAATATATACACTGTATAATAACAAGTGTGCTTAACAACGGAAAAAATAAAGCTACAGCATCATCTTGTTAATACGCACTACACAGACATGAAAAAGGTTGTAATGGTATTTTTAAAAAATACAGAGGAATACTGAACCTTGTGGTCTGTAGATTCACAGTGCGCACAGGCCAGTGCCAGCCTCTCACCAGAACTTATGCTGGCTTATTTCAGAGGACTCTGAAATAACTCAGAATTTACCAGAAAGCTACTTCCAGCACTCATATCCAAAGATGTCAATTAATGTACAGACAAGAGCAATTTTATGTTGTAAAGTCTCATATCTGGGCTTTGAAAGGAAGTTTTTTAACAGTTGTCACCACTTTGGAGCTTGTACTGTTGAAACCACACAAGATGAGTTTAACTCATACTATCAGCTTTCTACATTTGAAATGTTATATACATTTGAATGAAAATACTCGATAAGTGCTGATGTTTCAAGGAAAAGAACCTGAAAGCAATGCTCTTTTCAGAGTTGTATGTCAGAAACAGAGGAAGTCACTAATAATCTTTAATATCTTATATACAGAGGTGCTATTTGGGGTTTGTGTTGTGTGATCTTATTGGCTTGGTTTCTAAAGAAAAACAAGTGGAAAAAACCATTTTGAGTTATTGGCAAATAATGCCAAGATCTGGTGGAAAAAACAAATAAACAAACAAAAAGAAAGAAAAATAAAAACTGTGAAAGGTTTAAAAGACTCCTTTGACATTTTGGGGGAAGACACTAAACAAGTTAAAAATCAGCAAATACACACACACAGAGCAGTTCCATTTGCAAAAGTCACCAACTGGACACCAGTGCAGGATATAAAATGGACATAAACAGATTCTTGCTTTAAAGTCTCTTTACTTCAAATATTCTGTCAGTGCTCAAAATAAATATTTTGCTTTAAGAAGGTTGTCTTAAAAAAAAATCAAAAAATGAAGTGAGATACAGAGCCTTTGATTAGACAGGTTAGAAGGGTGGGTAACATTTTAAAATAAGTTGGTAGTTCTGTATGTTGACTCTGGTATTACAAGGAACAACACAAGCTACCAGGCATCAGAACAGAAGCGAGTGCAGTCAGCCTAATAGCAAGCAACTTGGTCTTTCGACAAGATCATTCATCCCTCCTTCAAAATTCTCCGTGTTCCCACAGCGGCATGTGATTCTACTTTTATTGCCACACACACCAAACAACCAAAAAACCAAACAACAAACCATTCAAATAAAAATTGAAGTGGTTTTCATCTTTATATTCTGTTTGTTTTATTAAATCTTCCACACATTCTACCATTTTTATTCTTATTTCATCTATTTCATCCATATTTGAATATAAGCTTTATATGGGCTCAAATTTTGAACTAAGAGAGAAATTCACTTCAGATTCAGATAAAAATTTGAGATGCCTAAATGAAAGAAAAATACATTCGGTATGAAATAATCGTTTTATCACACAAAACCACACCACTAGAATGCCTTTTCTAGAGCCACCTTTTTCTGCTGTTTAATGTTCCTTGCATCTATAGTCATAAACATCACTTCTTCTTATTCAGTTATTTCTGTCCTCTTCAGAGAGGAAAGAAAGTAAGTTTTTCAAGCTCACAAATGGCATGTCTTTATCAACTCACTAACAGGTACATCAAGCCACATTGTCTGCTTTGCTACAGGTGACTGTCAGCTTGTTCCAATCAGGACAGCTATCTGGCCCTTTCAGCAGACTAGCTGAAAAACAAGATTCAATGATATTGTGATGCAAATTATGGACAATCCCTAACTTAAAATACTTTTCACCATCTCAGTAACTATACAAAATTGTGCAGGAGACTGCTATACACAAATAAATAAACTGCTTATATAAGTGGATTACTCAGTGGTATAAAAACCACTAAACCAACATTCATTTGCTTGCCATGATCTTGGGAATTCATTATTCACATGTTTACTGCTGCTTCAAGCTCATGTATTAACAATCTGTAGCTTTGACAGATGCTTCTTCAAAAAGCCTTCAAAGACAAAATACGAAAACTGAGTAGCACTACCTCTACAAATTATTCTGGCACTGTATGTTCTGTTTTTTCAAGGTCTACAAGACAGGAATTTCTGGAAAAAGTTAACCACCTTGAAACTTGGAATATCTTGACCAAGTCCAGATATCTCGAAAATGTCCAATGACGGGACACCCACAACTTCTCTGGGCAACCTGTTCCAGTGCCTCACTACCCTCATTGTAAAACTTTACTTCCTTATGTCCAAATTAAACGTACCCTCTGTCAGTTTAAAGCTGTTAGCCCTTGTCCTGTCAGTACAGGCTCTGCCAAGAAGTCTGTTCCCATCTTTCTTATAAACCCCCTTTAAGTATTGAAAGGCCACAATAAGGCCTCCTCAGACCCTTCCCCTCTCCACACTGAACAACCCCAACTCTCTCAGCCTTTCCCCATAGCAGAGGTGCTCCAGCCCTCTCATAATTTTTTGTGGTCTCCTCTGGACCCACCCTAACAGGTCCATGTCTTTCTTGTGGTGGGACCCCTAAAGCTGGACACAGAACTGCAGGTGGGGTCTCACCAGAGCAGAGGGGCAGAATCCCCTCTCCTGACCTGCTGGCCACACTGCTTTTGATGCAGCGCAGGACATAGTTGGCTTTCTGGGCTGCAAGTGCACATTGCCAGCTCACGTTCAGCTTTTCATCCACCAGTACGCCCAATTCCTTCTCCATAGGACTACTCTCAATCCCTTCATCTCCCGGCCTGTATGGATTCCAAGGATTCTCTTGGCCCAGGTGCAGGACCTTGCACTTGGCCTTGTTGAACTTCATGACGTTTGCCAGGCGAACATTACATTACATTAAACATGGCATTAATGTCTGCCCATAGAGGGAAGTCAAGAGAGGTTCAAGCTCATTATCAGTCTCTGTTCTTAAAGCCACGTTTAGTCCAGACACAACGCACCCATATGAAGGTGGCCCTGTGCTCTGGATATCGGAGCCTTTGAGGAAATCAAGCTTTACTTCAGAGTTTATCAGCTCATAGGTCATACACCACCAACACAGGAGCCAATGCAGGTTGAGACGTGGTCATCAACTCAGATCACGGGCCAAGGACTGAGTTTGTCTGTCGAAACCCCATGGGTCACCTCGGCCACGCTGTGACCATCATCGCCGGCACAAAACAACGACGAGCTCCGTGAACCCGCCACAGCACAGGCGCAGTGACCACCCCTGTCCCGCCCGCCACGTTCGAGCTCCGTGGCCGCCCCGGCCGCTCGCACCGGCCGCCCCGGAGCTGCCCGCCCGAGAAGCTGGCCAAGGCGCTGAGGGCTCCCAGTGCCTTCGCTTGGGCCGATCGCAGTGGCCAGCGCCTCCCGCCCGCTCTTACCTGCCGGCAGCCCGGCCCCGGCGCTGAAGGCCGCACTCGCTCCGAGAGGCTTTGCGTTACCACTGACAACGGGGGGAGCGCCTCCAGCACGGAAACACCCGACCCGGAGCCGAAGAGTCACGGAAACAACCGAGGCGGTCCGCGCGCACGCCAGAGAGAAGCGGAAAGTGCCGAGCGCAGCGGAGCCGGGCGCGCTCGGCCATGGAGCTCCGCGGTCCCTGCCGAGAGCGGGGAGATGCGCTCCTCCCGAAGCGAGCAGCGACCGCTCCGGGCTGGCTCGGCGTTGGACGGGCACCGGCAGCTGGCTGGAGTGTTTCATGGATGAACCCGGCAGAAGCTTTGACACCGGTGACGGAGCATGCAACCTCCGGTCTCCTGTGCACCTACAAACTCTGCACGACCCTGAACACAACCACTATGAGAGAGCCCAATCCTCCTAAAACTTGGTGAAATATAAATTCATATCGTGACCATGTGCAATTGAACACCCTAGTGAGCTTTTTCAGAGCTTTTGTGGGAAAAGGGATTTCATTACTTTTTAAGATAGCAGCCAAGTTTTTCTGGTAACATCTAAGTGAAGATGGCCCCACAAGCCTTCCTGTGCTGCCTGGGTACAGTAGGTATGGTCCAGGTCAGGGCCAGCACTGCTCCATCACCAGTCGTGAGCCTGCTTTCAGCCTTAGCAGCTGGGTTTACCCAACACAATCAAATGAGACAATTTCAGACCCAATCCTTGTACCACTGTTAACCCCACAGTCATTTGTAATTCCTCTAAAGTCACAATACCTCCACACAAACAGATGGAAAGCTGCATCTCCAGTACAGCCATGACCAATGGCTTCTGCATGCACTAACTTGTCTTGACTCTGGCCATGCACCATTTATGTGGTGTCTCACACTGTTTCCCTTTTCCAAGGGAAAGGCACAGCAATTACTGGGACCCTTCTGACAAAAAAAGGTCAGTTTTGTTAGCAAGTAGGAAGAAACACTAGGTGGTAGGCAGACTGCAGTAGAATGTGCTGTGTCTCTTCCAGGACTGAAAGATAAGACTTCAGGTAAGGAGCCACAACTCTGGCATTAGACCTTCTTGCTGCAAGGTCAGCAACTCCCTCTATAACAAATTGTTTTCTGAGCAGAACTGACAAAGCCCTGTTTCATGGAGCTTTTTTACCCTCATGCTTTAATTGTTTTCTCCCTTACAAGGCATCAGCTCTCACAAAGTCATTTATGGCATCTCTTCTTGGTGGATTCTTGGACATGGAATAACAGCATTAGCTCACTTGGGTTGCACTCCCAAAGCAGAGTTAGTAATTCATTTATTGGCTCTGCCCAGTTGACTATTTTCAGTTTGAGCCCATAGTATTTTTTAGATCATCAGACTTGAAGATGAGTATTTGAGCAGACCATGTGTGCAAATGCCTTGTTTTCTCAAACCAGGCTAATGAGGAAACTATTGCAACTATGGGGTACAACCAAGGCAGAAATGCAT